ATAAAAGCAGACGTGCAACAATGCTAACATCATTATTCAAAACGATTCTATTCAATATCAATTAGCGATAAGTTTTCATCACGAGCACATCTGTTGTAATCGTTCGCTTAAAAATTGCACCACAGCCTCTCACGAGATTTATCTTAAATCTACCGACGATTGCCGAAAAGAGCCGAGCGTTCGCGTGTCATTGTGCACTGTCTTCGGAGCCGATAAAAGGGTCCCCTGCACCGTTTTAATTAGGCAGTAGAATGTATCGGGCGCTTAAAACACCTAGGGCTTTCGCAATTTTTTTTCAAGAATCGATCGTAATTCTGAAAGAATAATAAAAAAAATGTTCTTCTATAATATATCTCTTTAAATATATTGATAAAAAACATAAACAAATGACTGTTAAAATTAAGTACCTCTTATTATGGAATAATTGATTTATTTGAAACGACTGATTCAAATTTTAACGTAAACTTTTTCTGAAGTTACAACCCTAGCACATACCTAAGTCGAACTCGCCTGCGATCTGCTGTCCGGTGCAGTTAAGATAATTCGTTCGACTCGGTACAGATAAAGACCTTAATGATATATATTTAAGGATTATTTTAAAACGCAGAAGAAGTAATTCAAATAATAGGACGGCAATAACGCATTTCACTATAGCCCTTATGGCATAATGCGTAAAGATAGCAATATCTTGAATTAATGTTTTGTACACAGATGTTGTATATAGAACGCTGATAGAAACAACTGTAGTAATTATTATCTTTCTAAACATTTTCTTATTGTACTTAAATTACATAAAACATAATATAGAACAACTTATTTGTACAAAAATTATTAATATTTATTAATGTCTTTGAATTATTTCGAATTTTGTACACGTTAGTTGTAATTAAATTTCATTAAATTTAAAAATACATATTATTATAGTCTATAAAGTCTTAATCGATATTTTTATCGACCGATGGGTTTACACTTTAAAGATTATATATATTCCATATTGTAATTATTCAAAATAACTTGAAACTAATTTACTAAAACGATAAAACGTGTAATTATGTTGCTATGTGTCTATTTATGTTGGATGATATGTATGCATAGTCCAAGTAAGCGTCGTTACACTACATACGGAGCGTTTTCCGTTTCTCATTCAATAACCAACGCTAAAACAGTTATACTATAATGTGCGAAAGTTTATGAATGAAAAACTATTAAATTTCTGTATGTAGTGTGACTATACCAACACGGACTTAAGATATTATTCTCGCCAGTACAAAATATAATCAAACACATTTTAAATCTGTACAACAAAGAGGACGCTTTCAATTTTATATTTATGTTATGTACTGTTTCATAATGGTGTTTATTCTTAATAATTATAGTCATTTTTTATATTGAAAAATATTTGACAACATGGCGTGTCTAGTTTTCAAAGCTATAATATTTCAAAAAAATATTTTTTGCTCTGTAGATCATAATTTTACACATAGAGTACCTACCATAAGTCTTTGAGGTGTTTATCTGAGAGGTAAATCTTAACAAAATTATAATCTTAGTCATCGATAGTAGTGTTGAAAGTTTCTCTTTGGCTTACCATGTACATACATATTTTTCTTTGAAGTCTTATTTCTCAAGAAGTGTTATGTATGCAGTATAAGTAATCGCATTTAAGAATTTTGATCATCTGTTCTGCTTTAATTTATGATATATATGCTTTTATGTGACTATAATAATTTTATGACTCATTTTAATAACTTAAGCATATTTTATTCGCATTGAATAATATTTGTACAAATGAAAATTAAGTTTGAGTTTTTTTCAAACGAGACATAAATCATTAGAGAAATATCATTATATTTTTTGCAATGTCTTTCAAATTTTATAGTTATAAATTTCCTAAGTTTTATTTAGTCTCGTGTGTCATATCGCAATGTTTTCACATCACGTCCTGCGGTAGATTACGGGTTTCCCACTCGCTTTATTTAAAACAACTCGTTATGATTTAAATTCAGCACACGTGGCCGATTTACGATTATGTACAAATCCGGGTAATACTGTGAATAACGTTTTCGTGAAAATCTATTGCAATAGACAGAGTTATTCGTACGAAATTTTCCATAATTGTCACATATTTTAAACTTAACAAAACTCAACGGAAATTATTAGAGTTTGATTTAGATATTATTTGTGAACCGAACTTCTATCCAGTTTTTAAAACTTTGGTGTAGCTTTCTAAACAATCTATAATTCAGTAGGTCTCATTATAATGATGCCACAACCCTAGAAAAAAAAAGAAGAAAACAAACAGATATCCTTTCAGATGTCAGAAACTTATATTGAAATGACGAGTAGACACTTGAATTTGATTAATGTGTATGTATGCATTCCTTATTACTGAAGTCGGCCAAACAAGATTTGATTTAAACACGGTATAAGCTTTAAATTAAAAAATAATATGCATAAATTAACAACCTAATCCATGGAACACTAAAAAAAAATTAAAAGTATTTAAGAAACTTTTTTGAAACACCGTCTGTTTTAACGACATTTATTTTTTTCTTTGCAAGTTAACAAATCTAATACATACATACTCGTAATTCTTAATTAATAATGCATTCAGCTTCAAAAACGATATTTAAACATGTACATAAAAGTGTAAAAAATTTAAAGGAATTAAAACATTTTCCAAAATAACACAAAAATTCTATGTAACCAAAAAATTAGTTCAAGATTTTTTTGTATTTGCAATTAGTTTTGATTTGAACACATAAGATGTATAAGTCGTTTAATAAAACCTTTGATTTGATATCTTTTAAATTATAATTTAAAGTAGGTATTACTCAACAAAATTTTATAAAAATTGTTACTTAGCTAGTGAATTTATTGTGAACATAAAAATAATATTTAAAAGTAATAGTAATTCCTTAAAAGCAATTAATATCAGTTTTGATATTAATTTATTTATTTATTTCGGAAGTACTTTAGCGGCAGTCCTATTAAACTGACCGATCTTTATAATTTAACTACATTGCAATAAAAATGTACTGCAAAATTATTGCAATTATAATAATTTGTTTTCAATATTTAAGATTAAAACAAAACATACCGACTCTTTCTTTTTCTTGACAAACTTCAATTATATTTTTCTATTAATTTCACGTTGGGATGTTTCTAGTGGAAACATTTTGGAACTACTTAATGATATGTTTTTATAAAATTAATTTTGTGCAAGAATCTTTTTCTAAAGAAAATTCCGTGCTTAGCAGTCATTAGAGGTTGTTTTCATTTCACACATATTACAGTATATGTCATTTTGCTCGTATATCACCGGTCGCTCCAGCGATTATCCACAGTCACACACATTTTCTGTGCAATCGATTGCCACCGCTTCGTACGGTGCTTTCACCTCAAAAACGAAAATGTAGTGTATGGTATAAATTACTTGTCACCATTTTTTTGGCATTATTAAGTATTTTAGTATCATTATGACTATTTATATAATACACCAAATGAAATGGTTATATGAAATACAGAAAATTTATCAAGGATTAGGTAAGAAATAATTAATAATAATAAGTAATAAGATTTTGGGTTTTATTGAAATGTTTGTAAGGTTTTTTCCCAATTTCAAAATGGTAAAAACTAAAATAAATTCATTACAAGCATTAGAAATTAAGAGAAATATAAAGTAAGATTCTCTATTTAATCATAATAGGCGTATATCTTATAAAGGAATATTTTTTATAGTAGGATACTAAACAACAGTTGCGGAACTTCAAACATTGTCATTAAAGTACGAGATATATACTAAGGCTGACAATTTGCATGTATTTTCAAGTAGCATTTGTAGTGTTTTAAGCACTGGATCGTAAAATTGCGATCGTAAAAGCAACACTCTCTGTTTAAGGGTTTTATTTGAATGGATATTGGTCGTTTTAAGTTAAGAATCATTTTTGTTTTATTTTACTTCAGCTGTCATAATTGCCATTGCCAGTTTTTGCATAAATACTTTTACATGTAAATACTTTCTTAAAATTTATTTCTTAATGTGACCTAAGTTTTTACGTCCTATTCTAGGTTCTATGAAGGTTTAAATTTTGCGTTAAAATTCAGTTTTATACCACTTTTTGCAGTTTTTGCAGGATATTTATTTTTCTCCGTTTGTTTTTGAATATTAAGTACATGAAAAAAGTACGAAAAAAATCACACTGACTGGGGATGTTTAGCAATAAAGAGGCCAATAATAATTAAAAGTATTTTATTATAATTTAATTCGATAAAATTAAGACATAGTTCATCGATTCTTAAAATATAATTCACTTATATAATTTTTCTGAGCAATTTAACTTTTATGATAATTCATAGTCTGAAATCTATGTGACCCCATTTAAGACAATACATAATATGTATATTAAAAACATATATTTTATTTATGTAGTACAATAAAGATATTTGTCGATGCTATACAAAAATCAAAATCAGTACAATACTGTTTGATCATACATATGAATTATTCGCTTTCCACAGAAATTATTTTAATACCATTAAAAATCATACTATTCTTAAAATGTTAGCCAAACGTAAATAATTATCAAATAACAGTAACCTATCATTGCTTCCTTATAAATAACTAAAATTATATCTAAATAATAAATAACATTTATTGTTATTCCAAACTACGCATATTAAATTATATTTACTATAACAGTCACTGGAACTTCAAACATAAAGATTTCCTATACTAACAAAGTATGGCCTAAAATTTTAGAAAATCTAGTTACTTAAAATTTTGATGTAAACAAAACACTGCACAAACAAACCATATGAGATCTATACGAAAACCAAATCGTCACATACACTAACGTCCACAATTCTGACAATTCACACTGATATTACATTTAACTAATAATACTTTTCAAAGAACTAAAACTAATAGGTAAATTATGAAATATTATTTACATTTATTTTAAAATATTCCTAAAAATTATAATTAATTTATATAATAATTAACGTCTCATTATATCTTCTATGCTAAAACCTTTTTTGGGACCGCTCGATTGGCTCGTTCCAGGTTTTGGATTTGTGTTTGGCTGAATGCCAACTATATTCTTAATTCCATTTGCAATGCTAGTTGAATCAGAAACAACACTGTCCTTGGAGTTACTTTGTGAAATGTCATTGCTACTTGTTACAATAGTTGATGTGCTAGGTATTGTATCTTTAGGAGGAGCATGTTTGACAATTAAGTCTTGAGCAACTGTTTGTTGGGGCCCTAACACCGAATGAGGGACTGGACCGTATGGAATTTGTGGGTGTGGAGGAGGCATGGGTAGACCAAACTTGTGATATGGTTGCATTGCAATTAAAGAAGGTGGAACTCCTACTACAACCTCACTTCCACTCATCGGTGGTCGTGGCATCGTTAAGTTAGTTGGTTCTGGTGAACGACTCCTATAAACGGCAGCGCAGTTTCTTATATTTTCCCCTATATCGGGAGGATGACTTCTTTTTCTGAATGGACTTAAATACATCCCTGTAGGTCCTGGATCTATAGTTGGGCTAGACATTTGATTTATTTTTGATGAATCAGGGTTAGGAACCTGGTGTAAATCTCTTCGTATTTGTAACTGAGGATGTCTTACTTGATGTTCGGGATTCTCTGAATATCTTAATTCCTTCTCCATTATTTCTTCAGATGTATATTTTCGTTTCTCATAGAAGTCTGATGAATGCATACGATATTTGTCTTGATGCTGAGGACGCATAGTATAAGGGCTAGCTCGATCTCTAGGTTCATTGTGATGACAATGAGTGCGTTCTACTGGGGATGGTGATACGGGCCGTGGTCGTTCTTCACTTTGTTCTCTACCAATACTTTCGATAGAAGATGAGCGAGCTCTTCTTACTGGAGAATGTTCAGGAGAAGAAAGATCTTGATCTTCATCATCATAACCTGGTTCAATCGGTGATCCAGATCTCCCCATTTCCTCTTCACCTACATCTAAAACGTCTCCTGTGGGAACGTCACCGACAGCATGAGTTAATGCATGTCTCCTCAAATCACAATTTCTCCTAAATACTTTTCCGCACGAATTACACTCATAAGGTTTGTGATCGGTGTGGGTGAGTAGATGTGTTTTTAGATTAGAGCGTTGGTTGAAGCTTCGACTGCATACAGGACATTTGTGAGGAGATTCTTCCATGTGAAGGATCTTGTGAACAGCCAAAGTTCGCGATTGACAAAATCCTTTCCCGCATTCTGTGCATTTAAAAGGTTTCTCTTTTGAATGAATGTACCTGTAACAAAGAAAGTGAAATTGAGTTTACCATTCATGTATACTTTTATAAGACATTATTATACGAACGTTAATCGAAAATGGTCATTAAATTATCCACCCATAAAATACTGTGGTTTAATTAAATGTCTGTGAATAGGAGGAGTCGTTTCGAGAATAAGGTCCAGATTACAGCTTGAAATTTATTTTAAAAATTTGATTGCAATATGTTGGTAACATCGAACAGGTTTTAATAACAGAGTATGTGTATTAGCATTTATTGTTTTAATAAAATAATCAAGTATACACATTATATTTATAGGGGTTTTTTTTTATATAGGATATACGCAACTTTGTAATATTATATCAACGTCACAATTTATGTCCATTGACCACGATTTGCGCAAAACCACCTTGAACGTGATCTGAGTAATTTGAGACTATATTCTCAAGGCGAGTGTAGAGAAGCATGCGCGAGTTTACATTTAAGCCATTCTTGAAAGACCTCTGGAAATTTATTCCGTTGTGTAATAAAGCGTCAAAGAAATGGCAGACGAGATCAATTTTATTTGGTCGGGTCCTACAAGAGTTCCAGTTCAGCCGAATCGAATTACGTTAAAAGCATTTTGTGGCCAATCGCTTCGATTAAAATTATTAACGTGGCGAGGTATTGGGTTGCCGGTGCCGGACTAATGATTTTGCACATATAAAGAATGTCTACCTTTATGTTGGATTTCATTCTTAATTTTCTTTTAATATATAATGATTTTAATGACATAATCATAATGTAATATTTAAATAGTTTAACAATTTTACTTTCTAAGTTATGCAACTTAAACAAAATAGTGGAACATGTGATGCCACTTGTTCCACTATTTTGTTTATGAAAACTAAGGCTGAATACAAATCGCTGTAAATAATTTTAAAGTATATGTAAACTTTTTGTTTGCAATATTAAAATATATGTAACGTAGTTCATGTCATTGTTTCAATGTTTTGAACAATCTTAGGTATTGACTTAAAATTCCGTAAACGACCGTTACTTATAAGGTTTTAAATGATAGCTCACAATTCATAATTTTAAAGACCGAAAAGGAGATATAAACTGCCGATTTAATAATAACCTTTATATTTATTTTAAGACTCTATAAAATTAAGGAGTTAAACTTAATGGTGCGTTTTTGAAATATAAAATAAAAAGCTTGAATATTTATATGTGATACTAATTCCGAATCAAAAATTTAAAGGTTTCATTATTTAAATAAGCTCAGACGTCCCAAGCAGGCGATAAACATTAGTGAAGCGAACTAATGATAATGGAATCCTTAAATATTTCGGTGTCGTCATGTAAGGAATGCATCGCGTAAATAATATATCATTACTATGGAAGATAAACAAAAAAGTTTAATGACCTCGACCATCTCGTGTTACGATGGTTTAGAGTTTCATCAAGATTGTGTTTGATGGCGTCTCGGCGTCATAAAGCTATAGCTGAGATTTATTACTTTAAGATTTTGTTGGAAAACGTAGGTATTCACGTACACTGCTTTATTATGAAGGCATTTGTATAAAAACTTAAAGATTTATCATTCACTGTTCAACGGCATCCTGAATTGAAATGCAGTTAACTCCGTAAAAAATATTGACTTTTGATTAAATCATCTATTTTAATTTTACTATTTAAGTAAAATTTTCTCTTCCTAACATAAAATATTACTTTAAAACTTCTATGAATGAGCTTTGCGAGAAGACATTTGTATTTACACAGCATCACGCAAATATTAGGATGGGCCAACTGACCGGTTTCGTTGAAATGAAACGTAGAAAAGAAGACTTTATGTAACCGATATACGGTTTTAAATTAAAGGGCGTATACATTGAATCAATATTGCATACTAACACACAATGTAACGAGAAATAGGAGGTTCCAATTATATCGCTTCTTTTTCAATCAAAGCGTTCCACGACTATATTAAGCAGTATTCATGGTGGTTTTCAAACTTATAATAATTTTCACTTATTACCATCATATCGGAACGTAAACAAAACGATTAGAATTACAATTATTTGTCATTTAATATACGAATGACTTTAAATACCCCTTCTATTCCTTTCTGAAATTAAATGATCAGAAAAAGTTCCAATTAAATAAAAATCTGACACTAATATCGGTATCGAAATGACTACTAATAAATAATAAATATCTAATGAACGCGATATCTTAATTCTAAAATGAATTGAGAAGTCTGTCCGTGATTAACTACGTGGGATGACGGATTTGGAACCACTAGTCGGACAACTTGACCAACATCAAAGCAACGCCGACGGATTCAAATTAACAAGGCAATTACCGCCTTACTTTGAAAACGTTAACTCAAAACCGACGAAGACAATAAAATCTAGAGTTAGTACAAACTAAACATAACATCCCGCCTCAGATAACATGAACATCTTATTTGGCTACGAATAAATTATATCATTAGTGGTCAAAACTTTATGCATATTCAAAAAATTCTAAATATACTAACTCAAAAAGATATTAATCGGTAAAAATATACATAATTAATGATATAAACAAAGTCTTTCCTACCCGATTCCTTATCGCACCATTTTGATCACATTTGAAGTTAAATAAAATATAAGAAACGGCTGTCTCCTCTTAGGCTCTTATTATACTTAAAGATAAGGATCGCAACGGACAGTCACTCAGAATCCCATCAAGACCCGGCACCGAGATTAAAAAAAGTGAGACTCGAAATTACGGAGAGGACTGTAGCCTCCCGCTAATGGCTTACATTAAAAATATTTTCCATTACGATTACCGGTTGTGTTTATAATGCGTTCTATTGGAGGCCGTTTGAAAATAAATCGTAGAAAGAGAATAACATAGCGTTACTCAAGAATAATAAGAAGTGTTAAGTAGTTTGGCAAAATCTCATATGTAGTTATCTCAACTGGATGTAAAAAAATCTCAAGTACAAAATTCATTGAGAAAACGCGGCGAATTCGTCTTTGCCAAGAACAGGTTTTTGTAAACGTCCTCGTTTCTTTTTACAAACAGTACAACTGTTGTGACAGCTTAGCGAATATGGCGTCCGGATATTTTTGGTCGCGTGTCTTATAACATAGGTCATTTATTTTAGTAATAAAATGTTAAGCGAGAAGTGCTAAGAGGACGCACTAAATAGATACGACTATAATCTATATATTTTTTTTACTTAAGAAATATTTTCACATCGACCCGGACCAACAGCTTTTTTGTTCGAATTCAATCGTGCCTCAAAGATAGGCAATCTCTCAAAGCTGTAATTGACATAGAATAAATAACATTTAGAGTAAACGGAACAGGTGTGATATTAATAACTTAAATGTATAATAAAAAAGAATTTGTAATATTTAGTATGTTTGTGTGTTTCTCAATAGACATTTTTTTATATTTAAATTTTATTAATTAATGTCCGTGACTTCAAAAATTGGGGTCAAAGAGAAATAACAAAATGTTTGTAAAAAGATATGTTAAGGAATCGGCATTATCATCTATAGTTTATGTCACATGAATTTGTTTAACATAAAACTGTGATGTTGTGATCCTGGGAAATTGACAGTTAATTTCGAAATTAATCATAGTCCAGATATTATTCTCATGTCTAGAATTATTACACAAAAATGTAACTTAAATCCGTAAGTTCTTTGTAAAAGATGCCAACAGCCATACATCTTCACAAATCGTTTTCATTTTAAGCAGGACAAATGTGTATTGACTGTAGTAAATATACTTTCGTAATAAAAATTATGTTTTCTATACATACTATCTGGAATGATTTTTTTAACACTTGTGTGAAATATGAATCGACCGCATCTGGGAAATCGATATCTAAAACTGAAAGTAACTGAAACTAAGATATTAATTAAAGGTATGGATACCTTACATAACTATAATTAACGTAGATTAATTGATAATAATCTATGAATATTGTTCCTGCGAGTTTTATTTAGGGGTCTAAATTATTTTCCAGTAGAGTGCGGGTTTGTGGCGGAATGCGGGGTCATCGCTCTGTACTCCACCTCGGACGCTCTATCGCCTAGATTGATGAAGCCTTACTTATCTTTTTTCTCTTATTATTAGAACATAAAATGATTATTTCATTATTAAGAGATTTATATACAAAAAATATCTAATATATGTATTGAGACCATAAAACTAATGAACTAAAATAAAATTGCAGTGTTTGAGCATAAAATTAAATATGCAAATGAACGATTTAAGTGTAACGTAAATTATTTGCACCCACACATTCTAAGTCGGTAGCTTTATGAAATACATAAATTTTCTGCTAGAATTGGTTACAAGCCGCGCAACGTCACAACTAAATCAAATCTACTTATAAACAGCATATATTAACATAATCTAACCATTTGTATATTGTAAAGGCAAATTATGGAAAAACTTTAAAAATTTTACATGTAAATTATAGTAAAAAGAAAGTTATTTCTTGATTATGTTCGGATTTGGACATATTTTAGACATTCGGAACTTTTGAAGCTTGTATCATTTAATTGTAATGTGATATGTTGACTTGAAATAACATTAATTTTTAACTCGATATCTATCAGAATTTCACTGCAGAAATAAAATACAAAATATACGATTACATAGAATGGTGATTACATTTGTTTTATGTGTACGGTATAGTGAGGTTTCACAAATAAAGCAAGCAAGAGTGTGCAACCATATTAAGGCTTATAAAAGCAATTGTTCCTCGTAGTAAGCCCACGCAACATTTTATCTCCTGGTTACCACAGTACGTAGTCTTTGTCTTTACTGTTTTCAACTTCCATAACTATTGAATTATTTACAAGACTTTAACATCGGTTTTCTTCACGTTTAGGGATGATCTTATTTGTAATAAAATATAATTAAAAAAAAACAATCTACACACTAGTGGAACGTTACCCTACTATATTAAAAAAAAATTCTAATTAGTTCAGCCGATTTTGTTGAACAAACCGACATGTTCTTAT